GGTTTTGAGCATTCTAACACTCTTTATGGTGTACATGCAACCCTAGATGCCTTGGATCTATGTTTTCTCTAATATACATGCAAACTTTCAAAATTCCAAAGCATCATCCTAACTAGCATACAATGGAGTATATATACTACAAAATTCTAATTAGATGACATACCTTTTAGTGTGGTTGGAAACCTTGAAGCTTTAAGAACCTAGCACCAATAATGTGAATGCCTCAAATGGAACCACAAATCACCACCAACAAATGGAAGAACTAAAGAGAGATTACTTGCACTCAAATTTTGGCTAGCACTCTTGTGTGTACACTTAGTGGCCGATTTTGCTAGCTAGAGGGGTCCTTATATAGTGTGTCATGATTAGGGTTACACCATGCAAACCCTAATGTGCATGACTTTCCACATTCCTTAGGCTCCATGGGTTTTAACCTCCATGTAGTATCCATGGGTCACCACATGGGTTTAGACCAACATAAGGAACTATGGATCATAAGCCCACTTTATAAGAATGAATGATTTACACAATCAATCCTCATTTATTTAATTAGTCTCTTTTGATCACAAAATTAAATTCAAATTAATTTTTTATCAATACTAATTAAATAATATGATTTCATATTAATATATTAGAACTTATAATATATTAATAAATCATAATTAACCTCTTCTCAAAAGTCCATCCTTACAAATTGTTCCAATGAAATGCAACCCAAATGGACCATACTACTCTCGGGTCAAGTACATACAAAATATAGTTATGAACTTAGACACCTTATCCAACAACAATGACGCACAGTAAGGAACTGGGAGGTAAGAGGGAGGTGGTGATGAGTACAGAAGATAGACATGAGAAGTAGAGTAGTTGGAGATGCTCCGATTGCAAGTTGATGGGGGTGCCTCTAAAAAACCACTGATGAGAGATGATGGTGGACGCTTCATGAAAATTGTTCCTATAGTCAACATAAAGTGGTTGTGGTAAACATCGAAGAAATCCGAGTCAGTGGAGCAAATCAGTTGTTAACCTCAGTTAAATCCTCAACCTCCGGCCTAGGTTCCACTTCCACTAGAAGCTTGGTAAATCGATTGTTGATCGACCCTTTGTAAATCGAAGATCAATCGGAGGTGCGTAGCTAAAGAGGGAAGAGACTGAGTGTGGATTGATGGTAAGGTGAAGAAATGGGGATGTGGGGTGGTTTTAGGTATTTTTAGTCGGAAGAGACGATGGACAACAATCCAATCCCCATTGGCTTAAACAGTCGGTGCCACTGGAAGCTGGGCAATGAAGAGGAGATAACACGTAGTGTCTATGGGCGGTGGGTTCTCTGAGGAGACAGCACGTAGTGTTCCTGAAAGTAAAGAAACAAAAAAATAAAAAATAAAAAAACAAAAAAAACAACCAATCACAAGGAAGAGCTGTTCATAAGGGGCCTTGGGATTAATATTATATTTTTTGAACGACAAATACAAATATATATTAAACTACTCCTAAATTATTCCACCTATGTCCACATTAGGGGGCCTTGGGAATAATTTTATATATTTTTTGAAAAAAAAATATAAATATATATTAAAGTATTACTAAATTATTCCACTTATGTCTACATTGGGACTTGAACCTTGACCTCAAAGAAAAGATTATACACTAGGTAGAAGCCTCTTATTAATATTATATATAATACTAAAAAAAATAAGGGTTTTACGGCTTTTTGCTTCGTCAGCGCGTTCACTTCTATCCCCATGCCATGGTCTATTCTATTCTTCTCCATCTTCCATCACTGTCCCGCGATGTCTTCGTCGTTCTCGCCTCGGTCTTCTATCAGGTAAGTTTTCGGACCATCCCTATCTCTGGTAGTCATTCTCGATCATCTCTATTCTCTTCATTGCTTTTTCAATCTCGATTTTTCTTCTACATTCTTTGTTTGAATGATGTTTCTCTGTTTATTTATTTATTTAAATTTTCAGTTTTGACGTTGAATAGTGCGTTTTTGTTTCAATTGACATTTTTTTAATTGATTGCATAAATTAATTAGAGTTTTTTGGGTTTATTCCATAATTATAAAATCAGTTTAGGATATTAAATCAGCTTAGGATTGGAAGAATTGTGTTAACTAGACATAAGCATAAGTTGTTTGATAACTGAAGGGGAATATGAGATGCATGAATCCTTGTTAAATTGGGCTTTAATTCAATGTTTGTGAATATATAACAACTCGTTTGCATTATGATTTGTTGTTTGGGGAAACGATCCTTTGAAAAAGGTTTTGCTCTATCTTTAGGGAAAGAATTCTTATGGTATTTCCTAATTATGTTGACAAATGGAAGATTACACTGCAAGTTTGCTTTAACAAAGGTCTTCTACAGCATCCTGTGCTCATCGTTTAACTACAAGACCTGGACAATTATGGTAGTTTTTGACAAACATATTTAAGTCTCATGGTCGTATATATCAAAAGAATTTTAGTTTAAAATTAGAGTATGATGGCAAAAGAAACTTCTAGGTCAGATCGTAATACTCGATTCAGATCACCAACTCCAAAAAACTTAGTTGGGCAAAATCTCTAACCAAAACTCTCGATGCAGTCACACCACGAGAATTTAGATTAGCCTGCCAAAAGGTTAGACTAGCATCGAAATAAAATATCCTCCAAGTACAGAGAATAAATTTCAGGAAAATCATATCTGCCAGATAAGGATGGCAAAAGTCCCCATACCCGATGGGGAACCCAAAACCTGCACCCGTCTTGACTGGGGAATCCCTAAATTGACCGGAGATGGGGAATCCCCGAATAAAAATTGTGGGGATGGGGATACCTCTAATCCCCGACCTTGGACCCGCTCTCGATATATATTAATATATAAAAATAATACAAAACGTATATTTATAGTATAATTTACAATAGATAAAATTTGATCCAAGTAATCTAACTCATTAGTCATTACTTGGTTGGAATTATACTTTTTCTTTTTCTTTTATCTAATTTAAACTTGTGTATAATTTTCTTTCTCTTTTGTTGATCTATTTTATCTCAAATATCAACATGATAATTTTTTTCTACTTGATTTTTCATGTATGTATTTAAACTTGGTAAAAAATTTATTTATATTTTTTATGCAATCTATGGGTATTTTATATTTTATAAAACCGTTAAACTAATGTTGGAAAAATTGAAATTTAGAGTTTTTCCATATGTAAAAGTTTTCATATTAAAAGAGAAAGAAATCCTTGTTTCTCCGTTGGGGATTCTGGTCCCTGTTGGGGGTGGGAATGGGGATTTATTTGTATTCCCCACCCCTGTTGCCATCTCTAGCCAGTTTCCTTGCAATTTTCCAGTACATATGTATGAAAAGAAAGACACAAACACTAGCACTTCTACCCCACGTTTCCTACACTTGTGGAAATCCAAATAACTACTTTACTACTTTGACAACTTCAAACAAATAAAACTATAATAGAAAACAAGAAAATGCTGTAAAAAAACAACTTCATGCAGTCAAATATTTGGATGCTCTAACTGGGCCATGTTAATCCATCTTTGAATCGGGTGCGCAGATGTGGCATTATGGGTCTGGACCGGTGCCTTCCTATCACAATAGTTCTCAAACAAACAACAATTTGCTATTCTGCGTTGCTTTTAGATAGAAGGGTAAAATGATCATTTTCTCTCATTCGAATGGTTCATTCAATCCAAAATACAAAAAAATAGCCATATTTTATCCAATACATTCTCTGGAGACTCATCATTTTTCACTCAGCACTAAAGCCCTTATGGGATGATTCTTTATGACTTAATAGGCTTAATAATTAAGCAATTAATCTGGACAGCTAGCTATATATGGCTGTTTCCAGGCACTAACCCATTAAGTGTTTACCATTTGTCCTTATCCCTGAATGATTAGTGTATATGATTTTATTAGTTTGTTTTTTTGGGATTTGTATGACATAAAATGAGGACCAAAAGATATCACAAGATGAAAAAAGATATGTACAGGAAAAATACAAATTTCCAAGACCTGAAAGTCTTTGGACATTTAATATGGGGCTAACTATCCATTTCAATTGTCCTCTGTTTTTTTTTTTTTTTTCAAAATTTGTCTTATAGTTTGAATGGTTCTATTTCAAGGAAAATAAGGCTTTTATGCCCCACACAGTGTTTGATTTGGGGCAGGGCAGTTTGTTTCAATTCTTCTTTTCTAATTTGTCTTATAGTTTGGTTCTATTTCAAAGGAAAATACAGATTTTATCCTCCACACGAATCACAACTCACAAGGTGTGTATAAACGCAAGAAAGATAATTCTTGTGAAAAATGGTAGGAATTGATTGAACATTTTTTTTATATATTGATATCTTTTTTAGAGCATAAAAATAATAATTTTCAGTATATATTTTTTTGAAAAGAATATAGCTGTAAAAATGAGAAATAATAAACCATTTGTTGATGAATATGCCTAATCACTGTTATCTTTTATGTTTTAAGGTTATATTACTTTTCGAAAAAATAAAAACAAAAAAACCCAAATTTATATATTTTTATGTTGTACAAATAGACATCCATATTGATATACAAAGTCTGTATTATGATGTTTTCGTTGATGAGTGTTGTTAATTTTTTTTATCTATCAGTGCATTACTTTTTTTCAAAAAATAAAAACAAAAATACCAAAATATATTTTTCTGATATAAAAATAGACATCTATGTCGATGTTGTTATAGGAAGTGTTTTATAGCACTTTATTTCATGGATGAGTATGGTGTTGATTTTTCATTTTTTAGTGTTTTATCTTATTAAAAAAATTCCAGAATTTATTATTTTTTAGCCTTAAAAAATGTTTTCATATTGATGAAAAGAAAAGGAAAAAAGAATTATGTTCCTACCGTTCACATGAGAATTATTGGATCCTTCATTTTCAAAGTTGGCACTATATAAACTTGCATGGGGCGTCTTCAAATTTTCATCAATACAAACAAAAAAATCACCAAGATTTGTATCTACACCATGCATCCTTGTGTTTTTATAATATTCTCACTTCTCTTCCTCTGTTTTGAGACTACAACTGCCAACCAATTGGCAGCAGTGGGAGGAGGAGATGATAATGGCACTGTGAACAAGTGTTTTGAGAAGGAGAAAGATGCTCTCCTTCATTTCAAATCACTCCTTCAAGACCCTTCTGATTGCCTCTCTACGTGGACAGCTGAACAAGACAACTGCTGTGAATGGAGTGGAGTGACCTGCAACAACCAAACAGGTGGTCATGTCACAGAGCTTGATCTGATGGACTGTGGTCTTGTAGGTGAGATTAGCCATTCATTGGTTAACTTAACCTACTTGAATTATCTTAATCTTGACATCAATTCTTTTCATGGAACCATTCCTGCAATCATTGGTTCGTTGACTCAATTAAGGTACCTTAACCTTTGCTTTAATAATCTTAATGGAACCATTCCCAGGTCCATTGGTTCTTTGACTCAATTAAGGCACCTTCGCCTTTCCTATAATTCTCTTTATGGAACCATTCCTCCAGAGTTTGGGAACCTCACCAACTTGCAAGTGCTTTTCCTTGGAGACGTTGGAAGGTGTAGAGTTGAGAACCTAGACTGGTTGTCTCCTCTATCTCATTTGGAGGTGCTTTTTATGGATGGGATTTCACTAGCCAAAACAAATCATTGGGTAGATGTTATTCTGAGTCTTCGTAAACTCTTGTGGTTAAGTTTATCGGGATGTGAGCTGTCACAGGTCATGTATCCATATTCTTCTTCATTTCTCAACTCTTCTTATTCCTCATCTATTGAATACCTTTCTCTTAGAAACAACAGTCTCACCTCATCCATGTATCGTTGGTTGTTCCCATTAACCAGCAATAAGCTTTTCCATCTTGATCTTTCTAGCAACATGTTAGATGGGATATCCAAATATCTTGGTAACCTCTGTAGTTTGGAAACTTTGTTCTTCGATAATAACCCTGCTGTTGTCACATTTCCTGATTTTCTCAACAACTTGTCTGGATGCACATCGCTTTCATTACAACGGTTGTATGCTTCAGGAAGCCAATTTACAGGGTCATTGCCTGATGACATCCAAAAGTTTACATCCCTAACAGGTCTGTCCCTCTCTGAGAATCAGTTAAAAGGAACTATAAGTAAGAAACTGTGGGAACTGCCCAATCTTACATATCTTGAACTTTCTGAGAACTCACTCCAAGGATTTCCTTCCTCAGATTATATGTCAAACCTTCCTGATATAGAATATATTGATCTGAGCTCTTGCAAGCTAGGGCCTCGCTTCCCCAAATGGATTCAAAAATTGAAAAATCTTACAATTTTTGATATTTCAAATACTGGTATTTCAGATACCATTCCTCTTGAGTTTTGGGACTCGTGGCCTTCCCGGTTATCATTCCTGAATCTTTCTTCCAACAACATAAGCGGGAAAGTACTAGATCTCTCATCAAATTTTGACAGCAATTCACGGATAGATTTAAGCTCCAACAGCTTTGATGGTCCAATAACTAATGTCTCTTCCACTGTAGAATTACTAAATCTTTCCAGAAACAAATTTTCTGGAGGAATCTCCTTTTTATGTGAGGTTGTCCATGGCTTTTTAGTTATTCTTGACCTCTCCCATAACTTTCTAAGCGGACAAATTCCAGACTGTTTGTGGCATTTGAAAGAACTAAAAGTTCTTAATTTAGAACACAATAATCTATCTGGAAGGCTTCCTGCCTCTGTTGGATCTATGATTAAACTTGAGGCATTGGATTTATACATGAATGATTTCTCCGAGGAATTTCCTTTGTCTGTTAAGAATTGCACGAGCTTAAAGTCATTGAATTTGGGGGCCAACAAGTTTTCTGGTAATTTGCCTGTTTGGATTGGGGAAAACTTATCTGGGTTGTATGTTCTTATTTTAAGATCAAACAACTTCTCTGGAAGCATCCCTTTACAATTATGTCAATTAGCAAGTCTTCAAATTCTAGACTTGTCCGTGAACCATTTCCATGGAACCATCCCCTCATGTTTGAGTAATCTTACGATCATGGTGCAACAAGGATTCTCTCAAGCACAGAATTTAGATCCTAACAATCCATTAATAATATATTCATATAATGTTGACCATGTGATGATCCAGTGGCAAGGAACTGAACGTGAATTCATCAGAAGTAATATGAAGTTGTTGAGGAGCATCGACCTGTCAAGCAACAACTTAACAGGGGAAATCCCATATCAGATCACCAATCTTGATCAACTGATTGCACTGAACTTGTCAAAGAATGCTCTTCTTGGAAAGATTCCATTGAACATCAGTCAGATGAAAAATCTTTTAACTTTGGATTTATCTAGAAACAAGTTTTCAGGAGAAATACCATCAACCATGTCTCAAATGACCTTATTGAGTTACCTAGACGTGTCATGTAATAACTTGTCAGGGAGAATCCCATCCAGCACACAACTTCAGTCCTTTGACCATTCAAGATACGAAGGGAACTTAGGGCTATGCGGACTTCCCCTTACCAAAAAATGTCCTGGAGATGAAGAATCGGGAATACAACACATCATTGGTGAAAGTGAGGGTGAAGGTATAGACGAACCTGATGTATGGTTCTATATTGGTGGGGCCATTGGTTTCACTGTTGGATTTTGGATAGCATGTGGTGCTTTGCTTCTCAACCGTCGTGGAAGATACGCTTTTTTTATGTTTCTTGATAGCTTCGAAGATTGGGTTTATGTGAAGGTGGTGGTGTTCATTGCAAATTTGCAAAAAGACGAACATAGATAAGTCATGTAAAACCATGTTTCATTTTGTATTTGGCATGGGTTTTTAAGTCCCATTTATCAATAAAATTGCCACAAACACCACGGGTGGCCATTTTTCACCAATGCATGAAATAAGGCATCATAAAACGTTTATATTTTAGAAAGTTATTTATTTATTTATTTTAAATAACCAATAAGGGTAATGATAAAAAAAAAGGAAAATGACTATGTGACAGTAACCAACTGTCCCATTTGGTCATTTTTAGTCATTTATTTTGTATACATTTGACCAATAAACTTGGATTAATCTAACAAATTTTCTAGGAAATATAGCGCTCGAAGGATGATCCATCCATATACATTGCTTTTCTTTAAGACTATAATTAATAATATATTTCACCTTATGTTTCCTAGGGCCTTATTTGTTCATCAATAAATCAATGTTCAACTCAGAAAATCAACATTGTTACATTAAAATAATACCCTACCTAAGTTAAATGTCATTACTTAGCATTAACAATTCATAATTTATTACAAATTCCACCAACATTTGAGGATGTTACATAAAACGGAAATGAAAACATGCAATATATATAGGTAATGGGAAGTGAACTAAAATGATGATTCTTTCAAAAGCTTAGAACCAGAAGTTGATTTCTATTCTGAATATAACTTGGAATCATTAATTGCACTCCATCATAAAACAAATATATTTCAGAAAATGTTTCATATCAACCAGTTAAAAAGAAGAGTGTACCAAAATTGTGCACCATAATGATGAGCCGGGTGTCTAGAAGAGGGAAAATTTCATCAACCAGGCAAGTCAAAGTTAACGAGTCAAAGTTGTTAATTAACTGGCCATAAATGGGAGGGAAATTCTATTAGACTTGGATGGAATGAGTATAAAGGGAGGGAAGTCGAGTAGAATTAATTTTGTAATATGCATCAAATGGTATAAGAACAGTTTCGATTCACCATGGAAATAAGATTAACAAACAATCACATGGAGGGAAATGAAGGCGGAATAACAAAATTACAATCCACAAAAGCAAAGCAAATGCATGAATCCACAATCAAGGATAGGTTACACATTTGAATCCATGGAATTGGAGGGAATGTTACAAGAAATTCTGCAACAATTTACCCATCTCAATCAAATTAAAGAAGAATCAAATAAAAGAGATAGATCACCATTTAAAGATGGAGAAAGATCAAGAAACAGAGGACAATTCAAGAACCAAAGCTAATTTCTGCTATCTTAGGTAAACAATTAGAGATATCTATCTTTGTTGGCTCAAATCCATATGGATTTTGAAAGTTGATCAATATGTTTCCCTAAATTGATTGTACAATGATGAAAGTTTGTAGGTTGTTATGAACTGAGCACAACAGAAGATCGATTTGTAGTTGGGAAGAATTAGAACAAAGTGTTGGCGGCAAAACACAATCATACAGTGAGGTCAGAAGAAAAATCAAGAATTAGAAATCAAGATCAAACACATGAAACAGATTTATTCGAAGCAATCAAATTCTTGAATCAGTGTTCACTTCTTTCAGACATTTCATCAAACACTTGGAGGGCGGACTGACCTTTTGAAGATAATACTTTGTTTTCATTCAAATGGAACCGACTAGAGATACAAACCTGCAATGGAGTTCAAGAATAAAAGGAAAGAAATAGAGAAATTGAGATAGAAAACGATCTAGATGAAGTCCTGGATGGTTTCTACTTTCTAATCCGAATTTGAGTGCATCAGAAGATCTTGCTGCCAAGCAAAGAGTAAATCAAAACAATTATTGTGGGTGAAGAAGATGAGAAGCTAGTTGATTCAGAGGACGGGGTAGCTAATTTAGTTATTAAAAAAAAAAAACAGAATTTATGCTCAAGGTACAATTCATTAACCCTAATAATCTTTATATTAATTTTAGCTCTTCCAGTGACGTTGAAGTTGAAGAAAGGGAGACATGCTTCTTAGGGATGTTAGAAATTTAGAAAAGGTTAAAATGATAATATCACAAGGGTGCTCAACAATTGTAGAAAAGAATGTTGCAATCAAGATTGTTGATGGTTTAAACTTTAAAGGAATTTTACAACTTCAGACACGGTTTGGGAATGGTCAATTACTCAAGGCTCAGTTTGTCCATCAATTGCAAATGTTTCAACGTCAAGCAGGGTTAATGTTTGATAGAGGATATAAACACAAATAGTATTTTTTTTTTTTTTTCATGAACATCAACTTAAGGACAAGGTGATAGTTTTGAGGACAGGTATTGATGACTGTCTAGAAGTTCGAAAAATCTAAGAAGTCAATCAGGAAAGTCCAAGTTAAATGAGTCAAAAGGAAGGAAATCAGGTAACATTAGATTCATTTGGTCATTTTGTAATTAGTAACAAGTCTTTGGGAGAGACTCATCTCTCAAGTGTGGAAAATCAGTCCATTCAAGCTTTAATTCCACTATCACTTTCGATTTCCATCAAATTTTTATGACATAACTTCATTATAGGTTGATGAAGTTGTAACTCTTTGTATTGATGTTATGTGCGGTGTGCCACATCTTCTTCAAGATTAATCTTTTTTTTTTTTGAATAGTTGAATTTTATAAAGAACCACTAGCAATTAAGAAGCTAGAAAATTACAAAAACAAATCTAGGAAAGGGTTTGACAACCAATGAACCCATCTAACGGAAACACTAGAGTTTCTAAAAATAAAAATTAGAGTCTATGCTGCATATTCTTCCAATATATATATATATATATATATATATATATATATATTATATATATATATATATATATATATACTAGTTGTGACACTCGTATGTTATACGAGTTGGATAAAACAAAAAAATAAAAATAAATATGAAGGTTTAAACAAAAATTTATTTAAATTTAAAATTTAAAATTTAAAATTTGAATTTAAAAGGAAACATATTAAATACTATATGAGTTGTAATATTGTAATTTATTGGTTATTTTTAATTAAGATAATTATTAATTGAGGTGTGAATATGATGTTTAATTAAGAAAAGATAAAAAAAAATGAGAAAATGACACATGGAAAAAACATTTATTCAAAAATACAAAAAAATGACATGTGTCCAAATTAATGAGAGAGTGACATGTGACAAAATTATTTTCATTTATTAGGGAGAATAGGTTCAAATGTTTTCTAACAACTATTTTGTGCATGAATGCACCAATAGGAATTTAGGAAAAAAATAAATCATTAAATAAATCAATTAAGGGTATTATAGTAAGCTTTGCATAGTTAATTATGCTAGATAATTAATATTCCTGATATCACGCAAGAAGCAAAGATAAATTCAGATTAGCCCTAAATCAAACTCACCATCAGTTAGCTTCTTCTTCTGCTCCGCTTCTTTACAACCTAGTCCTAAATCATGAAAGTCATCGGACACCACGACCACCACAACCGCAATAACCCCTAAAATCACAAGCGGAATTCCTCTTCAGCATCGTCTGTTGATTTTAAATCAGGCGAAAAACTCGATTTCAAGTTCTCTAGCCTTCAAGCTCTTCAGGTCTATCTTTTTCATTTTTCATACACACAACTGTTATTTGTTCCTCTTTTCTCACTTTAGATGGATTGTCTAAGCTCCAGGAAGATATGTAAGGTTTGGCAGCGAGTGTAGACGGGAAGAGGAAAAGATGTGTGAGAGGACTATTGTGATTGACGAGGGGGAAAGGAAGAACGCGAGGCGACTGCTGCCTCGAGGTCTCGCCTGAATCGCCACCACATCGGGTGGTTCTTGATACGGGAGGAAGAAGAAGATGTTGAATCTAGATTCATGTAGAATTGATCCTGATTCGACATTAGAAGTATATTGATTTTTCCCCAATAACTGAATACTTTTGTCTGTAAATACTGCATACCTTATTCCATCCATAAATCGATTTAATTCCCTATGAGTTCTAGTCTCAATAAGACTACTTATTCTTACTGTTCATATAGTATGATATGAATATACCACATCAATTTGTTATGTATGGATGATGAGATTTCATTGATACAGATCTAATTCCAATAGACTTATTGGAGGGTCCCATTGGCGTGCATCCAGTAGGAATTGAACCTACGAATTCGCCAATTATGAGTTGGGTGCTTTAACCATTCAGCCAAGAATTGGGGATAAAGGCCTGGTTCACTTAGCAGGTAATTCGACCATATTAAAAATTCTTTCAATTTTAGCATTTGGTTGAGCCCATAAACGAAGTTCATTGTCAACTCCAGTAACAACCCTAGATTCTGAAGAAGAAGATGTTGATTTAATTTTGAAGCCCTTTTAGCCATCAAAGCCTTGTCAGAATCCATTTAGCTCTCTCATGATGATGCTTCAAAAGAGCTTCAGCAATGCCTGTATAAGCTTCTTATTTTAAAGGTATAATGCCTATCTTCACACATTTCATTCATATTTACATATTAGCCATTTATTTGCTATGGTCTACTTATTTCACTACTAATCACTTGAACCTAACGAGGCTACTATTATTTCAGAATGAAAAAGGGAAATATTCTTCACATGTAATCCTTCAAATTGGATCAGATCTAGACAACCAAAAAAGGCAGGGAAGCTTTAATTTTATTCTTTTAGAATGATTGTTCTCTAAGAATGAACTCGAATTTTATTCTTTAATTTTTTTTTTCATATCAGAATGCAAACACATGTTCATTATATGAGAATAAATATATTACATAAAACATGTGTTGCTAGTAATTCTGACAGAATACATTTATACATGCTTTAGAATGTTTATGCATATAGCAGAAAAGACTATGATGTATTCTTTTAGAATTTATTTATATAAATGCATTCTGTTAAAATGTCTTTGACAATGTTTGTTAACAACAAGTATATTTGTTTAACTGGTAATACTAAATAGTAATGTATCTTATTCTTTCAGAATTGCATGGAGAAGGAATTCAATATTGATCATACAAGAGAAATATGTGGAATCGAGGTCAACAACCAGCATATATGCGATGATCAAGTGGATATTC